CCGAGAGGGGCGGGGCAGCCTCGTCCCCACCTCCGGGCGGGGACGCGAGAGGAGCTACGCGCAACGGCGTTGCCTTACGTCACTTCCGCGCGCCGCTAAACGTCACTGCCGGGCGCGGACAGCGCTACGGATCGCTGTTTAAGTTCGGTCAGTGGCCTTTCGCGAGCCATGGAGAGTGACTTTTATCTGCGTTACTACGTGGGTCACAAGGGCAAGTTCGGCCACGAATTCCTGGAATTTGAGTTCCGACCGGATGGTGAGAGCGGCCCCGGGCGCGGGGACGAGGCCTGGGGCGGCCGGGGGCCGGGAACGTGCGGGGAGCCGGAGGAGGAAGGCAGGGCTCTGGGAGAAGCACGCCTGTGTCCGCCCCACGGGCTCTGTCTGTCCAGGGCGTCTTCTGTTGTGATATTTTCACCGGATGCTTCAGCAGGCGCTGAGTGCGCGCCCGCTCTGCACCGGGCACCTGGGATGCGGGCGCGGGCGATAGGCAAGCTTCCTCTCGCGGGGAGCTTTTATTCTAGGGCTGGGGGAGAAGTCATAAAAGGGATTCCAGACCGTGATGAGTGGTCGGAAATAAACAAAATGACGGGCTGGTTTTAAATAGGGCGACCGTTGGGGAGCTCCCTGAAAAGGGGCTATTTGAACTGAACCTTGATTGACAAGGAGCCAGCCTGTGACGCCCCAAAAGAGCATCTAGTCCGAGGGAGCAACAGGTGTCGGGGCCAGAGGGCGGGGTGAGCGAGGCTATTCCAGGTGCCCGTGTGGCTGGGGAGAAAAGTAGGAGATAATATGGGATAAGCAGGCCGTGGCCACGACATGTAGGTCTTTATAGGCCATGGTGAAGAGTTTGGATTTTATTCTAAGTACAGCAGGAAGCAGTGGGAAAGTTTTAAGCAGAGAAGAAGTGTGATCTGTTCTTGAAACAAGTATTCTAGTGATCGGGTACAGAATGAGCAAAAGTGGAAACAGGGCCTCCTATTAGGAGACAGTTAACAATTGTCCAGACAGAAGGGGTGCTGGTAGGGACTAGGGTGAGAGTGAGAGTGGAGAGAAGGACTTAGGGTACTGTTCAAGGCAGAACCAATATGACTGTCAGTTATAGGATTTAGGGAGGGGGTGGGTGGTGAGGAAAAGGAGTCAAAGATGATAGAAATCTACTACATGGGGGCACAGAGGTGAATCTGACAAGCTGCATTTGTGAAGGAAATAGGTTTGTAAACAGTGACGAGACAGTGTATTAGGGGCTGTGGGAGAAAGGAGCAGAGGGACTCGGAACAGAAAGAAGGGACCTAATCTAGCTGAGGGTTCAGAGGTTTCCCGGCAAAACATGAGGGAAGGGGGATGCGAGTTTTCAGTGACGAGGAGTTGTGTAGGCAGGCGAGTTAAGAATGCATTTTGGGCAGCCTTAATGGCAAAGAGGCTGAAAACCACAAAGTCATGGGACGTTTCAGACAGAAACCAAGTAGCCTGATGGAGAGAGAGCTCTTGCAGGAGGGAGCCTGGAGAGGCAGGCAGAGGCTCAGTTTAGCAGTGTGCCATGTTGAATTTGGCCAAGAAGGCAGGGGGAAGCCATTGTCCGGATCAGAGTATTAGAGTAAACTGATCAGATCTTGCTGTTATACATCACTTTGTCCACTGTGTGGAGAATGAACTGAAAGGAAAGAGTCTTGAGGTAGAGAGTACAGTGAGGCATCATTTAATTTGCCTCTTTTATCTTCTTCATACTCACCATACACCCAGATTAGCCTGTTGAATGCGTATATACACAGAGAGACTTGTATACTAAATGTGTTAAGTAATAAAACCACAACTTTTTTTTTCAATCTTCACCCAAGGATATGTTCATTGGTTTTTAGAGAGAGAAACATTGATGTGAGAGAGAAAATCTATTGGTTGCCTCGTACCCACCCTGACTAGGGATCAAACACAAAACCCTTCAATTCACGGGACAACATTCCAACCAACCGAGCCATACTGGCCAGGGCTAACACCACAACTTTTCTGTCACAGGAATATATCAGAATATTACACAGTCACATGATAATGTATGTAAATTATATTTTTCAAAGGCTTTCATAACTCATATGAGCCTCAGCAGGCCTTGTGTGCAGGTAAGTTACCAATTACTATCCCTGTTTTCAGCTTAGGACATTAACCTGCAGAAATATGATTCTACCTGAGTTCTTTTGTCCTACCTGAGCTACCTTTTGCAAGATCTGTAATTCAGCATCAGGTATAGTTTTGGCTGTGAGGCTATTTAATAGCCTAAAGTGAAGAACTGAAAAAATGTATTGTTGAAACACTAAAGGTATAAACATTTAAAAAGTTAGAATACGTTTTAAGCAACAACTGACAGTCTTAGTAGGCTAATGATGATTTAGTCATATGTTTTTATTATATATTGATTTTTCCCCCCTCACAGGGAAATTGAGATATGCCAACAACAGCAATTACAAGAATGATGTCATGATCAGAAAAGAGGTAATGAGCCTTCAGAGAGACTTTCTCATTCACTACAGTTTAGCCTTTTGTCTTTTTTTGTTCTTTCTGGGAGTAGTAATGAAAGATAAAGAAGAGGAAAGTATAAACATGTCTGTAGACAGCTTCTAATGTTTTTTTCAAATCTTTTAGTTTATATTTTCTTTCACAACACTGAATCAGTTATTGGTTATCACGTGAAGTCTTGCAGATCTAGGCTTGAACCCTGAATCTGCTGCTTACTAACTATGTGGCCTTGGGCAAATTTCCCAGCTGAACTTGATAAATTCAGTTTCTTCATCTGCAATAAAAAACAAATAAGAGCTAATCCCCACTCAAAGTATTTGGTATATTCCCTGGTACACAGCACTCAGTGAAGCTCTAATTTGCATTTGAATGGGAAAGGGAGCGTGGAAAAATGGTTAACCTTATTGAATGCTTGTTAGATGCCAGGCATGACACCAGGTATTTTACATACATGATCTTATTTGATCCTGATTATAAGCCCGGGTGATGGATGATATTAGATACCCTTTACAGATAAGACTGTGAAAGCCCAGATATGATTTATGGAACTTGTTCAAAGTCACCCCTGCCAGTAAGGGATAGAACAGGAATTCAAACTATTCCTGCCTCTGTCATGTGCTCCATTTTGGTGTGATTTCTACCACACCATTAAGTCTTCATCAAAGCTACACTTTCTTTTTAGCCACTTTGTTAACAGTTGAAACTATCTTAACAATCAGTATATTTTCATTCTGTTATATTTAACTAGAGGCCCAGCACACAAAATCGTGTGTGGGTAGGGTCCCTAGGCCTAGCCTGCAATCAGGACCACCATCTGCCTGCTCACCAGTCCCCAGTCCCACTCCGCCGCCACCCCCTGGTTCCCCGTGGTTCCTCAATCTCAGCATGGCTCCGGGCTGTGGGGAGGGACCAAGTGCCCCACCGCCATTCACCTCAGTTCACTGTGGTTCCCCATGCTGCGATCGGAGCCTGTGGGCCGGGGGGAAGGGGGGGCGGGGACCGAGAGGTGGTCAATGCACCTCATGGCGACTGGTCGAGCTGTCATACTGATTATGCTTAGGGTCGCTGGCCTTTTATTATA